GATAACCTGGGTGTGCCTAGTGTGGTAAGACCTGACTCGTCAGGGCGCATTCATACTTCGCGATCTGGGCGGTTGCGTCGCACGACTGCAACGAAAACGCTCCGTCGTCATTCACTGACTGCTTCAAGTGTTGGAGCAATTCTCATCCTGAGTGTACTCGAATTAGCAGCTGGGAACGTCTAACGATTAGTGGTATAACGCTATTAATCGCATTTCCGCTATTTCCAGTATGAACACACCCTTTACTTTTTGATTAATTAAAACTGGTTTGTTTTCGTTTTGTAGGATTCATACCATTTTCAGAATCTGGATAATTAAACATTTCAGTTACGGTACGAAAAGGTCAAGCTCTTCAAGGCGAGATGATGGTAAACGAGCTCGACATGGGTGAGCGTGTTTTTTGAATATTGCTATCGTATCACGCCATTCCAAATGCCTTGACGTTTCTTACTCATTTAGCAGTGAGTCGGATAATGGCGATACGAAGAACGATGATTTTTCTGGACCTATGCTCACTTTCAAAAAGTTTTTAATGACACAGGTAGCGTTTGCTTTGATGAAAGTTTGAGTTACGCCATTATTGCCTAAATCTCTTAAGGATGATGATATATCTGACTCCGCTGCATTGGCTGCTTACAACGAGTACAAGCAGGAATATAAAAGAAAAGAACTGCAGCGTTTCTTCGACGCTCATAAAACGGAAGAATGGTGATTACACTGAAAAAAATTTATCATACAAGTTTTTTTTTGCGTGATCTAGTGATGAAAGTTTCCTTATTTTTTCAGCTTACCGCTACTGCAAGATAATATACCACCATTCAGGTTCCGCCATAAATATCATCCAGAGGAATCAGCTACGATTCGTGATGCCCATATGGCTGACATCAAGAAGCGTCTCGAAATCTTCAACGATATGAGATCCAAAGGCTGCTTTGACGACCTAACATTAGACCTTCAGCATGCTCGTGAAATCATTCGCACTATGGATACTTGTAAGCCGCCACTCTCACTTTACCTAAATTTGTTGTATTCATCGGGGGCTAATGTAGTTGAGAGAGGCCTTCCTAGGGCATGAAAAAAATGCTTTTATGCACCCCGAGACGAGACATCGTGGATTCCGGTCGCCTGCTTGTTCTAAGCTGAGCCTCTTGAGAGGAAGCGATCACTTATAGAAGTGTGCTTTACTCAACTACAGTGGCGCCCGTCCTTTCAAAGTGCCAGTTTTTGCTTTTTTCATGAAAAAAAACCTCTCAGATAATTCCTTCTGATTTTATTACTTATATTTCTGTCGAATATTTAGGAATCTCCAGACCATTCTGATGTTCCAGACTCTACGCCTTGTATTTTTAGTGGTAGTGCGCCTTGAGGGTGGCTCGGAAGAAGACGTTGAAGCGTTGAAAATGAGAAAATTGAAGACGATTCGTTTGTTTGATTTGGTGAGAGCAAAGAAGTCCTGATCGAGACCACCGGCGCAGACAACAGGATTGAGGCTCGTGGGATGCAGTAAGCGAAGGTTGGTTGTCCTTCATTATCATTGGAAAGTGGAATTGCTGCCGCAATCTAAAATTTAGTGCGATCTTCCCGTGCAGCGTTTCGAGGGTTTCGAGCTTACGGCAGCGTTTGTACGACTAGGAAAGTATAGGTATCGATCCGAAGTACCCCAGCTTTTTAGCGTCTCACGGACAGTTCTGAATTTTTTGCGGGCAGTCCCTGATAACACTATCATAAGCTCAAAACTCTAGATCGGTACCCATACTTTCCTATCGCTTAGGTGCCGTGACCTCGAAACGCTAACACTTAGGTTTGAACCAGCAACCCCAGGTTTTGTCTGTCTGGAAGGAGGAATATGCTTTTGCTCGGCTTCCGTCTAAGGGCACGTGCGAAACGGAAGCTGAGCTATCTCTTTGCTTTCGACCCCCCTCAATAATTCTCATTTATTAGATTTTACAACATAGTTCATTATCTGGTTTTCAAAAGACTTTATTTCTGTCTAGTCTGGTTGTCGTTTTTAATAATCTCTGTTCGCACCTGTGCGTTATAGCTGTTTTTGGGGTTGAAGCGCAGGCGATCGTCTTTCCTGAATTTCTGAACGCTTATTGTCACACACATAACAGTGCGATTTTCCAGCGAATGAAGAAGGTCGGTGAAAAACGTAAGAAGACGTTGCTTCACAAAACAAGTTCTATTTCATGAGAAATGTACTCGCAACCCCAGGTAAAAGTTGCTGATTTGTAAACGGTCATTGGCTTCACCTTCCCCTAGTCCAAGTAGTTGTTTTTTTACTGTCTCATTTTTTGCAGGTAGTATGTTTTTTCAGCGTATGCAGCCCCGATAGTCCAGGTTTCCTTCGTATAGCGTTTAGTGAACCACATGCTGATCGGAATTTCTCTCGCAGAGCTTGGGCAACTTACAAAAGAGATGTTAATATTAAAGAGATATGTTGGACACTAAACCAAACCAAGGTATCTGCTGCTTGAGGTTTCCCTTCTTGTCGAATTTAATAGCGGTATAGTAATAGTAGAGTGTGCTTTTTAGGCAGCGTTCAGACTTCGCGATGCTGCAACTGCGGCAGCGCTTCAAGACGGCGACGGCCGCTTCTATTGTGAGAGAGTATGGGGGGATAGGAGGGTACACGTAGCCTAATCACGCAATCTGGTATCAATCAGCACTGGCCGCTAGTGCTAGGGGTATTATAGAAGAACAGAAGGGTACCAGATAGTGTGACCACGAGGAAAATACAACCCCTCTCTAGCTTTTCTTCGATTTTCCCAAAATTTCCTAGCACTTTTTCCAGAATTTCTCGAAAATTTGCTACTTTTACCCAAAAAGTTTGCTGTCGGAGAGAGTGGGGGTGGTATTCAGTGCACATGAAAAAAAACCAGTAACTTCACTCAGAAGGTCAGAAAGGAAATACGGCCTCCCCTCCTCCCTCCTCCCCCCCTGAACAACATCCCTGAAACAAGGAAAATCAACTACCAAAAAATTTTTTCTTCGCGCAAATACGCCTCCCCTCCCTCTCTCAACGACCAAATACGACCACCTGTTGGGGAATCCCCAACATCGGTGTGCTGTCTCAAATATAAGCGGCTGGCGCCGATCGATAGCCGTCTGCGTTTGCGTTCGCTTCTATAGTACTGGAGCGCCGCTGCAATTGTAGGGCACCGACGCGCGTCATTGCGGAGTCTGAAAGCTGCCTTAGCTCCGCAACAGATCTGCGATGTTCGAGAGCTAATTTTCTGTTCAGCTGAATGATTCTACGGATCTGAATGTGATTCTTAATCGTGATCTCACGCGCCGTATCCGTGGAATAAGCGGAGTGACTTCACACAAAGATGTGGCTCAAAATGATATCAAGCAGGCGGCTAAGGTGAGACATCTCTATAGAAACTCACTTCGAGGAGTTATTCTTGTCCTTATGCATAGCTTATGTTGCAGCTCGTCGCACTGATGGACAAACGTATCGGCTTGTTTTGCGAAGACGAACCAAAGGAAGAACGTGATAAAGATATATTCACAGGGGTTGATCTGGTGGCGACATCGAAAAATCCACTACTCAGACAGGTTGGGGTTGAAAAGGAAAAGATTATGAAGAAATGACGAAAGGATAAGATCGCCAGGGAATGAATGAGAATCTTTGGGAAAGACGAAGAGTGCTATGTGAACAAGGAACATGAGGAAGATAAATTTCGAGAGAACATTCATGAGTTGGGTATTTTCATTTAGGTTCGACCGGTGCTGAGAGACTGCGACGAACCGAGCCCGGAAGAAGAGGAAATGTTGGGTAGGTAGCAGATGTCATGTTCTTGTTTTGTGTACCTAAAAGCTGTTGAACTCTTATAAAAACAGAAATATACGATTAATTGTAGTTTTTTCCCCATAGAGCTAGTAAGGGTGACTACGACAAAAGGAATTTTGAAAAAAAAGGCAAACTTGTGGAAATAGGGTGATGTGATAAGGGAACAAATGATGTTGGGAAGACTCTGCGGTTTTGTTGGGTAAGAAATAGTTACGTTTCATGTAAGAAGGAATAGTTCAGTTTTAGTTAGGAAAAGTAAACATCGGCTGAATATGTTGCTCAGAATTGCCTGCTCTAAGTTGTTCTCTGAAGCATTAGCTAAGGTAACATCTTGGAGAAATGGATGGTGGCCAGGGGCAGGTGGCGACGCTTTCTTTATGCGCGGTTGGGGGGTCAAAATGCCGGCATGGCTCTCGCTAGGTCCCAACAAAGCATTTGTGCCACCGAAGGGAGTAAATAGTTCTAGACTCGCCTAGATGGATAACACTGGAAATCAGCTGGCCCAGACAAGTTGCTGTATAGTCCATCCGAATTGCTAAAGTGGAATAGGATTCGCGGCGCATCCTGCGGAGGGATTGATCAGCACGGGACAATTTTCCTTTGGTGAAGAAGAGACAAATAGGTGAATTCGCTATTTCAAAGCCTCGTCTCTACGGCACAGTAAGCAAATGGCTTACCAAAGAGATTATGCTTCTGCACTGCTGTGCAATAAGAGGGATTGATTAGTGAGCTGGACTGGGTGCACACTGATTAACTATTGTCCGCTTTAGCAGTACATGCCCCTCTTCCCTCATCCATCAAGCATTAGTGGCTATGAACGCCAAGTTGAAGGTGTTCGCATCTGAAGTCTCACTTCACATGCTCAGCATCAATACTGTCCGTGAAGGGACATACACTCTTTATCTCGGCGACGGGGAGGGCGTGGCTGCGTATTCATTTGAACATGGCACTGCTGGTGATATATTTCCATTTGAGACAAGAGCATCCTGTCTTGAACAGGACCAGTTTAGTTATCCCCAAGGATACAATATCTCATCAAAAGTGCTGCCGCCGCCAAGTAAGAACGCTGTAAACAGCCACGCCCTCCACATCTTTAGGATATGGAGTGTATATCTAGCCAAGGAGTGAATAGTATCGTTAGAGAAGAAGGGATGGTGGGAAGGGTTATATTAACAAGGACAAAATAATTTTGATTTCGAATTTTTTTAATTAGTAACTGTTCCTACCTCCAATATTCCTTAACGAGGTTTTGTATTCTAACTGTCCTTTTCATACTAGTAGTGTATTCTAAATCATTTCAAAGAAAACTGTGGGGAAAGGGGGGGGGGGGAGAGGGAAGAAGCTGTAATCAAAAGCTTTCCAACAGTTGGTTCATATGGGAGCACAACAGCGCATCCCCCTGAAGTATCGGTTCCATTAATTGTTTGACAGTACTCAAGATATTATGAGTATATCTACCTTAGGGGTGGATTAGAACTGTTGTAAATTGTTGTACCACTTGCTCGGCTCGAATAGGAGCACCTTTTTGAATCTGAAGTCATCAGCCGTGTGGTCTACTTACCTTCTGCACAATCCGAGCCCGAACAGGCCCATGCCCAGGCCAATCAAGCTTTCCAACCTTTGGAAGCTTTCAACTGGTGCCGGAGTTTCCGGGAGTATAAAGTCACTGACATCGGCTGGCCTTCGAAAACCATTGCGTGGAAATCACTGCATTCAGCAAACCTTTACGCGATTCTGAATGGAAATAGAACGCGTGCCACATTTCAAAAAGGGGTGAATAAAAAGGAAAGCTTCACCATTTTTATGATTAGGTAGAAGTATCTGAGTATTGTGCTGTACTCGGGGCCTTAATGGAATCTGGATTTCAAAACAATGAAAAAGAGGCAACAAGAATCTATTGCAAAAAAATACCCGAAATATCAAAAAAATCCAAATGTTCTCGCAAAAAAAAATTCATTTCCTGCCTTGGATATTTCGGTGCTTATGGCTAGCATATTCCTCAGCGATCTGAAATACTGCAGTAGGGACAGTTGTGCTGAGCTGCCTCAAATTGATCGGTACCCTGCCTTCGTTGGCGTGGAATAGCTGCCTTTGCAGATGAGCCAGCGCTTCTAGTGTTAACTAAGTAATCGCCACTTATAGAGGTGGGAAGGGAAAAATAAACGTAAAATTTTTTGCGAATATTTTTGGATTCCTTTGGATCTCTGAATTTTTTTTGCAATAAATTTCTGGTGTAAGTTTTGTTTAGTAGAAATATCCATTAAACTGTTTTACATGAAAGCAAACCTCAACCGATATGATATCCACTAGAGTATGCGTAGAGTTACTTGATCCGAACGTTGCAGGAATTTCTCGCCTGTACACCTTCATACGCAGCTGCACCAACTGACGAGAAGATTCCCTTCGTGCGCGACGAAAAATTGTTGCACGCTCTCGATCTGTTAATCTTATACCTTCGTATGGTACACTCGATAGACTTTTATGGTCACATTGAGTACCCCAATGAAGATGCAATGCCTAACAGGTACGTTCTTGCTTCACTTATATCCAGTTTTAGTCTTTCATGAAAATTTTGCCTTTGTCTATGTTATAGACATGCAAATATCAAATTTCGGCCACTAGTAATAGTTTTGATACCGATGTGCAAAATTTTTCAGTGTAACATTCATAGATGGCCTGACCTCCTCGCTAAGGCATAGCTGTTACCTAAGATAGAAGATGCTCGTAATAACAAACTAGAGGGTAGTATTTTAGCGTCAAAAATCGTATTATAGCAAAGCATAAACGTACTACCTTCCTTTAAACCTTTTACGCCCAACTTCGGCGCGATTGTTCAACGTTGTTCTCCATCGGATAGAGTGCACCCACTCACCGCCACCCAAAAAAAAACTGTGCCTTCCTATAGTTTTTTTTCGGACCACATTCGTTGGCGCACTTTCAATCAGAGGCAAGATTTCAAAATCAGTAACCTCTGTAGGCTTAGGATCGTCTAAAAATCCCATCTTTTCAATAATTGGAGTGCCGGAGAATCGATGGGAAGGCTGCTCATTTTCCCATGAGTAATATTAATTTATTGGAATGTTAAGGTTTTGTATTGCGCTGCATGTAGTGGCGTCCTACCATCGCAGTTTGGCAGCTCAGAAGATGGAACAAAGCTTGTTTCAACCAAGTTCAATACGGTAATAAATTCTTCAGAAAATCTCCTCTTCTCTCCTTGCAGCTGGATAGGAAATACTATTCCGGTGCTATTTCAGCCATCAGTGTTGCAGTTTAAATAGTACTCTATTTGTTATCAGGAGTTCATCAATGGATTTAACCATCGCCTGGAGAGCGGCCTTATGCAGGCTTCATACGTAACACCTGATGAAATGGAGAAGATGGGAAAGAAAGATGGTGATAAGTGAGTGAAGTAACCAGTTTGTTCCTCTATTAGACTGGAGTGACCCTAGTTTCTCTTGAAAACTCTGCTTTTTCAGAGAAGTTGAAGCATTTATTCAAGCAAATACTGTAGAATTGGCTCAAGACAAGTGGTTATGTCCACTATCTGGGAAAAAATTCAAAGGACCAGATTTCATTCGTAAACATCTCACGAGTAAGCACGATGAAAAGCTGCGTGAAGTACGCGAAGAGGTTCGTAATTTTTTTGTCCTTTTTTCATGAACTTCATTCTAAGCGTACCTAAACAGTAACTGAAATATACCAGGCTAAACCGGATGCACGGTTCTGTTCCAGGCAATTTTCTACAACAATTACTTGGCTGATCCAAACAGGCCTGCCAATGTGGAGGTCAAGCCAAGCCCCGCGCCACCACGGGAAGAAGAGCGTCGTGAGGATAGATACAGTAAGTTTTCGCTTCATTATGCTCGATAGGTGCTGCTGTAGTCGGGTGCGTCTGAGGACATCTGTCAACTCCGCTCCTTCTTCATTCTCTTTTTTTCACCCTCCTTCCTTGTCTTCCTTCCCCTCTTCCCCGTTCCCCCTTCCCTATCCCCTCTTCGTTCTTTCCTCCTTTGCATGCCTGACGAGAAAATGTAATGACAAAATACTTCCGAAGCTTCGCAGCTAGAAAACATTCGGTAAACAGAAGCCCTGTAGCTGTAACCTAGTTGAATGGGGAAGTCTGCTCGTCTCCAACCGATACTGTGACCCGTTCCCCCTCCAGGTTAAGCCTCAGAAAGGCGTAGCCATGACATGGTCGTGGCACAGCCTCGCCATGAAGCTTAGAGAAGCAGGCTCGATGGCGGCACCACTTGGTCCCTTCCAGTTGCAGCAGCACCCACTGATTATCTCTGGGCGCTAGTATGGCGCTAGTATCACTTTGCTCTGTGGTACTTCATTATGTGCTCCATCAAAATACGACAAAGTTTTCTTCTATTTTTTATTCGGATTTGTGGCTAGATTGAAGATGTTTGAAACCACAGTCAATGTGCTATTTAGGAGATCGCAATGAACGCAGCGATCGAGGCGGCGGAGATCGCAGTTATGCGAGTAGTGGGGACCGCAGAAACCGTGGTTACGCAGGCTTTGGAAGCGGTGGTCCGCCTCGCGATCGTGGTCCACGTTTCACACCAGAATCGTCACGCCCTCTCACCTCTTACAGAGACCTCGATGCGTTCCCAATTGATTGAGTTAATGAGCTGTTCTTAATTTATCATTCGGTGTTATCTCATAGTTCAAATATTTCGATTTTTCTTTGAAAAGTTATCGTTTTTAGTTAAGGTTTGCAGGAATATTTCTCATTGCTCTGTGAGGTGTGGTAATGTTCGCCCATTTCTTTTTACTCTAAATATTTATATTGTTCAACTGATATTGAGAGAAGTTGGAAAACGCGTTGATCTTTTTCTGGGCTGACTGTGGTCCGACGTCGATGCCCGTTAGACTTCATTTGGGTTAGTGGTCAGATAATTTAGCTATTGCCATATTCGGTATTCAGTGCTGTAGGTGGAGACGTGGTTTTTTGTGAGTTCAGTTAACTTATTTTACAAGGACTGAAGGAGCACTTATGAACCGGCTCTGGTTAGCTATTTATCGACTGCTGTTACAATTAAGATTGTTCTGTTATCATTTCCCCCGTCCTGATTGTGTTTCTAAATGAATTGTTGAGTAAATCGTTTACAAGATATGTTGTTATTTGCTTTTCTCCTGATTTAGGATAGTCAATGAGTAAAAAATGTTTGTCTGGAAAGAATGTAGTCTGTTGGAATGGAAAGTTGTACAATGCTACTTCGTGGGCCCATTCGTACAGAAAAAGGGAACGCTTCCGCTGGTGGGTGAGTCATATAAGCAGGGTAGAGGATCGGGATGGGTGAAATGATGGTGTAAGCAGCTGATGGAGGTTGCCTTCCTTAGTTTGCTGTTGTCTTTTTTACCGAGAACTTCAATAACAAACTTCATTACAACCTGTTAGGCCAAAGTACATGATCACTCTGCAGGAAAAAGACTCGGAACAATCACAATTTCGGAGACTCGCACAATTGGCTGATGTACCAATATCTTACATCCCTGTATCCCCACACGGTTGCCTCGTTACAATAGTCGTTCGCAGCTCGAGACAATACTCTATAGAAGTCTGAATAATATTTCAATAGAGCTGTCCAAGACTGCTAGACTTTGTACAGCTTC